GAAGAAGATCTGTTTCTGTAAACCTTCATTTCTCACTAGAATTGCTGCCTTAACACCCTCGTTTAACTTGCTTGGTCTCCCCGTGCCACCTCCCCATTTCCAGCCCATTTTCCATATTGTCATCAGAATGACCATTCTAGAAATGTGGCCATATCACTCCTCCTCTTAAAAAATATGTAAGTTTTTTCTCATTGCACTTAACATACAATTCAAAATTGTTAACATGATTTCAAAATGGGTTCATTGTATGTCCTGTTTTTCCTGGAACTGTCCCAATTTTCACCCTTGTTTTTCAGTGTAATTCTTTTTTTTTTTTTTTTTTTTTGTGGTTTGTGGGCCTCTCACTGTTGTGGCCTCTCCCATTGTGGAGCACAGGCTCCGGACGAGCAGGCTCAGCGGCCATGGCTCACGGGCCCAGCCGCTCCACGGCATGTGGGATCCTCCCAGACCGGGGCACGAACCCGTATCCCCTGCATCGGCAGGCGGACTCCCAACCACTGCGCCACCAGGGAAGCCCTCAGTGTAATTCTTGATAACATCCTTTTTCCTCTCAAGTGTCCTGGAACTTTAACATCTAATTTCTGGCTTCTGTTCCAGTCTCACTTCTGATGTCTCCATCCAGCCCGTACACTCACACTCAATGCTGTATTCAAACAGAATTGCTTATAGTTCCTCAAGTCTTTTAAGCTTTATTCCTATCCAGCTTCTAGCATATGCTGAACCTTTTGTTTATAACTTTCTGCTTAACACCTGCCCTACCCAAATTTACTGGCTAATTTCTACTCATATTTGCATCTCCACTTAGACATCACTTCTAATTCAGTCTCTCGACTTTTCCACCAGAAGGCTATGGTAGACGCCCTTCCTACGTGCTACCCAAGCATCTACCCCTGTTTTGTTGCATATTTTCACCCCGGTGTCTTCCCTATTTGTTATTGGTATCACTCACAGTTTGTGAATTCTTGTAGGCAAAGAAAGTATCCATATTTGTTTACTAGTGCCTGGTCCATATTCAATGCATAATAATTCTATATTAACAGAATTTATGAGTTCTATACAGGAATTCTGTATGCCTAGCACTAAGGATAATGCCCTATGTAGAGTAGACTTGTCAACACGTATTTGTTATTTGTTAACTGACTAATTTAGTAAATAAATGAATGAGTTAGTGTTTGATTGGAACCTTTAATAATGAATGATTTATAAAATGATACTTATCAATAGGATTCAGATGTGTGGAAAAAGGAAGAGAGTACCTTTCCTTCAGTGTAAGCCCTGAAGGTAAAAGAATATTTCTGTATTTGGAAAATACAGTGTATGAACTGGAAAATATAACTGAGCCAAAATTTTTTTTAATTAAATGTGCTACGTAATGTAATTTAACTGAAGCATCTATGTAAATGTAGGTATATAATAAAAGAGAACATTTGAAATATTGGTTAAACCTTTATTAAAATTAGAGAACAACCCACTGGATTTAGGAAATGTATCTTCTCCATCAGTAAATCATTGAGCAGAGATAATGTGAGTGAAAGAAACCGCTATATGCCAAAGATCACCCTGCCTCTGATCCACTGAGCTTACCATAGACTCAAGTTTTTGTCAGCAAATTCTTAGGACAAGCTCTTTTCATGAAGATATGTTGCTTTTTCACAGAAATCTTGCCTTTGAGTTCTCCAGGCATGTATTCCGCAAGAAAGTCTGAATCTTAAACTGATTTTAGATTTATGAACAAAAATTTACATTATTGCAGTTGTTTGTATATGAATTGGCAGCATTGTGTTGGATGACTGGGTGTTACAAAAGACTAGAGGTTGGCAAATTAATAGTCGGTTTAAGCCCCAGCAAGTACTGTAGCAGTAGGATGCAAAGAGGGAATAATTCTAAGATAATTCTAAGGATAAATGCTAGAGTTTGGAAATTTAACGGATGGGCTGGGAAATTTAATGGAAATTTAATGGATGGACTCTGGGATGCAGAGATGGTGGTCAGAGATTCTCTGACTGACTAGTCAGTACCTTTGATTAACTAGTTAGGCGATTATTCAGCACGATGAGAAATTCATTTCAGTAAAACATGAGATTATGTTTACAGAAAGATATTCATGATCAAAGTTCATATGATATTGTATAGACATGCTTTGTAGTGAACTATAGTAGCAGTAATTTCTGTACATGATCAAGGGTTTATTGCAGCATTTCTTTTCCTGTTCTCTTTTTTTTTTTTTTAAGGGTAGTATTAACAAATGACAGGAGTAGAAAAGTCAACATACAGATTTTAGAAGGAGAACTTACAGGACACAGATTTGTGATGCTTTGGATGCAACACTTTTGGATGTGATTCTAAAAGCTTTTATTGAGCGTTGTCAAATTTGTAAGCTTCATAGGGATGGACATCATATTTATAAATGCCCTTCTATAAGTGCTACCATAGATGTGAAATTCTTGACCTTAATATCGTCTTTGAAAATGTTAAATTGAGAATTCTGTTAACTTAGGTTTTAAGAATTGGCGTATTGTATTACTGCAAGAGATTTGATTTTCAGCACAGTGCAACGTTCTTTCAAATGCATATGTCTTTTTTTCTAATTCCATTTTGTTTTAAAGCACAGTTTAAATGTAGTTTTCTCATTTAGTAAAAGTTGTCTAATTGAAAAAAAAAAAAACTATTCAGGCTGATAGCTGTAACTGAACTTTGGGAAAGATGTGAACGCTAATGTATGGCTTTAGAAATCCTAAGATGAGATATTTAAAGCCAAAAACTAGACGGTTACACACTGAGAGAGCAGAGTAGAGGCCGGAGTTGGAATCATGTTCTAATCACTAAATTATGGCTTTTCTCAGTCTTCCTCCGACTTGATTTTTGAACAGTATTTGAGACCACATCTTCCTCTACAGCTGGAACGTGCTCAGTGTGTCCGGCTCCTCGGATCTCCGTCTGTGCAGCCACTGCGCACTCCCTGCTTCCCACCCACCCCAGCCCCACGTATGATCACCTTGGGAACACTCTCCTGTGCCCCTCCATCGCCACCACCTGGCCACCACGACTCTCTGAGTCTAACCATGAACAAATTAATTCCCTATCTAGTTCTACTGCAGCTAAGTCTGCATCAAAGAAAAAAGAAAAAAAAGAGCAAAACCTGATTTGAAAATTTTAAGGGATGAGAAAACATGCAAAAGCATAAAATCGTGCTTTGCCATGTGTCCCATGCCCCTTGTTAGCTAGAGGAGTGAACAATGAACAGAGATGATGGTCCTTGGCTTAGAAGATCCCAGTCAGGTAACAGAGATCGGTCGCCAAGTTCTGGGGAAAAAGACCCTGAATGAGCTATGTGCAGAGCCCAGCAGTCTTGCTCTTTCCCACCTGACCTCGTGACAGATGCTGGACTTCAGATTCTTAGGCTCTCGGCCCTTTATTTTGGCTACTTGCTTTAACGTGGCCTGAAGATCTGTGGTTTTGGCAGTACACCTTAAGAACCAGATGTGGCCCCCAATTCACAGGAAAGCCTGCCTATCCTTGCAAGAAGACAGCTCATTCCAGGCATCTCCTAGCCACCGAGGCGGTTCAAATGAAGCATTTTTGTTTTTGTTTTTGTTTTTGTTTTTGTTTTTGCGGCACGTGGGCCTCTCCCGTTGCAGAGCACAGGCTCCAGACGCGCAGGCTCAGCGGCCACGGCTCACGGGCCCAGCCGCTCCACGGCATGTGGGATCTTCCCGGACCGGGGCACGAACCCGTTTCCCCTGCGTTGGCAGGCGGACTCTCAACCACTGCGCCACCGGGGAAGCCCAAATGAAGCATTTTTGACACCAAGGCTAATAAATCAGAGACTGCGTCGTGATGTAATGGACACGGACACCAAGGGGGCACCACTTGCGTATCCCTCCTTCTGTCTACATTTCAAGTGAGGATGTCCTTAAAGTCTGGATGGGCCTAGATGTGGTGGAATAACTCCTGTTTCTCCCTGAAAGGTTTGATTCTGAGCACCAGCCTCATCCGTCTGTCCAGGGGAAGCCCAGGGGTCAAGTCTCTCTAGTACCATCATGACAGCAAGCAGCAGCAGTGGCCCCCGTCCTCTCCAAGACCCCTTCCTTCAGCAATGCTCCCTCCCCTCCATTCTTAAAAAGGGGGACCCAGAGACGTCCCCTCCCTTGAGATCTCCCAAATTTGCTACATTAGAAACAGGGGCTTCCTCCCATTGCCTCTGAGAGCGAGGGGTGATTTTTTTATTGGCTTGGCTGTGTCTTGTATTTCTTGTTGAATGGAAGTTGGCAGCAAAAGAAACAAGCATTTTTGAGGTTACCACTTAAGTACAAGGTTAAGTTTCATTCTTAAGAAATTCCTTCCAATCTTACACAAACATCTGGTCTTAGGCCTTCATTTATTAGCAGGCACTAATAGCAACAGAATTTTTCAAAAGAAACCCTCATACACCATAATACACATGCAAACACACACACTTTTTTTTGTCACTTACAGAAGCTTAGCTGCAGATTGGTATGGCTGACACAACTTTAAATGCAGATGGGTAAATTAAAACTCGAATGACAGAAAGCTAGAAACCACTGGTTGTGATCGCTCCTACTTGCCTATGTTTTTTGTCCTCACATATGAGAATATTCAAAAGCGGATATTCTAGATGTTAGGATACATTATGTGACTTTACGTTTTTTTATATTTGATGAAATAATGTTATTATGTGTGTTCCTTTTATTAATGTCACTTCAAATCCTGTTCAGAAATAGGTACTAAGAGTAAATAAATGTTTAATGTATGAAAGGATTAAGCTTTCTTTACTATTGGGTATTTTAACCAGGAAAACTTGGTTATGAAAAGTAAAGGGACATTAAAAATACAATTAAAAGTGAAGTCATGACACATTCATAGCTAAGAACCACGTGATAAAAATGGCTTTCTTCATATATGTTAGGAAAATTTAAGTAAGTAGAAAAGCATAAAATAGAGAATGCTCACAAATTTTTCTTTTTCAAATTTCTGAACAGAAAGAAAGAGAGCGAGGTTCTAATTTGGCCTTTATGTTCCGACTGCCTTTTGCTGCCGGGAGGGTGTTCAGTATCAGCATGTTGGACACGCTTCTTTACCAGGTATATGCAGTGTTTCTTGTTTCTCTCTAAAATGTTTATTTTCTAGTTTCTTTAGATTCTATCAAACGCATAATACAACTAGAGTTTCCCATGGAGCTGTTAACTTAAAATTGGCTCTGGAAGTAATCCAATATTTTACTTCATGTATTTAATGACATAAATGTGCCTGTGAAACACACTGTAAGAAAAAATTATTTTTCAGAATAACCTATGAAATGATATTAGGCATTCTATGACACCAGTGTCCTACAATGTTTAATGGGACATTTTAATACATTTGCATATTCCTCTAAGCACATTACTAGACAATAAATAAAAGCTGAGAAAGAATTACTAGGTTAAAAAAAGATAGCTTTCTTTCTAATGCATATATTTTTAGTAAGATACCAAATGATGTCAATAAACTGATAAACCAAAGGACATTTTAAACACCTGCTAATTATTGCCTTCTTCAGAAAAATGTAAGGAAGATTTTACAACCACTAAGAATCATTCGGTTTGTTTCTGAATGCCGGAGTTTTACATTGTCATTTTATCTTTCTTAACTTTAGCTAAGAAGTTCATAGAGGTTTTATTTTACACAAATATATTTTAATCTTTTTTTTAACTCTGTCAGAAACTGAACGAAAGCAATATTTCATATTCTCTGATTCAAGTCATCAGATACTTTTTAAATATATCCGTTAAGAGAAAAAAGATATTCATAGGGCTTTGAGTTATTTGATAACTTTAATCTCAAATTAAGCATTCAAGCCTTGTGTTGTGTTTTTTGATCATGTATTTTATGTACCCTCTTCCTCCATGCTTGGCTGAATAAACTAATCCAAAGAGAGTTAAAGCTTTTCTACTGGCCTCTGGGCTAATTATGCCTATGACTATGTCTCTGGCCGTGTTTCAAACCATCTGCTTATGCCAGATGAGTGCAGGAACAACACAGTAAAGAGCCATAAACACTCCTGTTCTCCCGAAAGTTTCCAGACACATTATCTGGGTACTCCAGAAGCCAGGCTTCTACCCCAGACCCCCATTGCCAGGCACACGTAATTCTGATCTCTCAAAGAGTGGGTTCAAGGGAGGGATTGTTTGAAGAGCAGTGTTGCCTCTGAGGGGATTTGTATCCATAGCAGTCAAATGGTTGCTGTCATTATGCACCAGTGGTTTTCAGATATTTTATCTACAGTACCTTAGGTTTAAATGAAATCTCATGAGAAAGTCTTTGACATATAAGCTAAGTAGAAGGAAAACCATTCTGTAGAATTGGAGAGCAGTAGTTATTACTTACCTTTCATTTTTGTTTCACTTTTTTTGTTACACATAGAAATACAGAAAATTGTGTTTTTTCCAAAGCTAGCAGCTGCAGAAAGAATGAACTAGAACAATAATTTTTGAAGTAGTAATTGCCCATTTACCTTCTGATGTCAAATGAGATATTTTAATGGTACGTTTTTCAGACAGGTAAAGAGTATTTATTTACAGGTTAAAACGAGATTAGAAATTTAAAATATTTTATTCTCTAAAATTATATAACATGCATTCTTGTATTCTTAAAATATACAATCTAATTGTTTTGGTTAATGATTTAAACCCATCTTCTTAAAGATAAATGCTTATATATTCAAGAACTATTATTGACGACTACAATTATATAGTGATTTACTATTAATGTAATTCTATTCTAGACCTCATTTTATTTGCTTCCCCAAGGAAAACTGTAGTATAAGCAGTATTATCAATCATAATATATGGATGAGACAAGGGCTCAGGAAGGTCAACTATCCAGTGTTTAGTGGGAATACTCATCTTCAAGCCATGCATACCTCATTAGATTAATCCCGACCCTTTTCCTGCGGTAAATGACTCTGCATTTGTATAATGCTTGAGTTTGTTTGCTTGTTCGGTTGGTTTTTATTATATCCCACTTGAAACACAGATCGCTTTCATATTTTTAATCATTTTTATTAATTCTCATCTGTGTAGATCAGGAAAGCCAATTATTAAAAAAGTTATTACCTAAAATAAAATTAAATAGATATTAAAAAATTCTTCTATGATCGCATCACATAAGACTTAATGCATGGATTTTGTGATATTAAATGGGGCTATCCACATTTTTGGTTCACATCTAACTCTAGTCTATGCCCTGATGAAGTTACAGGACAGATGACCTCTGGACAAAGAATGTGTTGATGAAGAATACAGTAAACTTTAGCTATATTACCACATCTGGCTCTAAAATAATTTAAAATAGTCATTTGCCAAATCTTCAGTTTAATTTCTCTACCATGAGTGCTTTCTGTTTTTCATTGTGGAAATAATAGTTTTAAGTGCCCAAGAATTTGTTTAAAATTTTTCTTTAGCACACACTGAGTTACAAATGAAATTGAATGATGCTAATAGGGGTGCATGTCACAGCTCCTCTTGGTGGCCCCAATATATTCATGTCTTAATTACTAGGAGGTTAATATACCTTGAAAACCAAAGGTCCATTTAAATAAATGGCCTGAAAAAAATGGAATGGATGTGTTTCCTCACGTCCTTTTTTAGATGGGTTTATTTTTTTGAAACTAGCTCTTGGTAAAAGAAATTAGCAATCAACAAAGTAGTCTAGATGATTTCTTTAAAAGGTGTTATAGGGCTTCCCTGATGGCACAGTGGTTGAGAGTCCGCCTGCCGCTGCAGGGGACACGGGTTCGTACCCCGGTACGGGGGGATCACACATGCCGCGGAGCGGCTGGGCACGTGAGCCGTGGCCGCTGAGCCTGCGCGTCCGGAGCCTGTGCTCTACAATAGGAGAGGCCACAGCCGTGGGAGGCCTGCATACCTAAAAAAAAAAAAAAAAAAAAGGTGTTATAACTTTTAAAGTCTTTGCTATACAAAATAACTAGATGATTTATTGTTATTATATTTTTATTGAAGTATAGTTGATTTACAGTGTTGGGCTAATGTCTGCTGTATAGCAAAGTGACTCAGTTATAAACATATATACATTCTTTTTTCTAATATTCTTTTCCATTATGGTTTATCCCAGGAGATTGGGTATAGTTCCCTGTGCTATACAGTAGGACCTTGTTGTTTATTCATTTTAAATGTAATAGTTTGCATCTACTAGCCCATCCCTTCCCCTTGGCAACCACAAGTCTGTTCTCTATGTCTAAGAGTCTGTTTCTGTTTTGTAGATAGGTTCATTTATGCCATATTTTAGATTCCACATATAAGCAATGTCATATGGTATTTGTCTTTCTCTCTCTGACTTACTTCACTTAGTATGATAATTTCTATATGAATGGTTAAAGAAGATGTGGTACATATATACAATGGAATACTACTCAGCCATGAAAAAGTACAAAATAATGCCATTTGCAACAACAAGGATGCAAAATACCTAGATGATTATTTAAATATTTCACTTGTTAACACCTGACGATCAAACTCAAGGCAGTAATTTCATACGATTTATGAAGTAATTGTTACATATCATGGTGAAATTTGCTTGTATGGGTTGAAAGTCTTTCTTTTCACTCAGACCAAAAAATAAACTGAAGAAACTAGAAGCATTTTTCAGTTAATATTCTAACTATTGAGTAGTGTTCTAACAACATGTCAAAATATATGTTAGCAAACAAAATAGTCTCATGATGGTATTTAATACTAACCTATTAATTCACTAATATTTAGATTTACTTAAATATTATACAGAAATGTATTCTACTAGCATAAAGTTTAATCCTAACAAAAAACCAAATACCGGTTGAAATATTTCATTGTAAATTTTAGTCATTTTAGATTTTTTAAAACATTCTCTATTATATTTCAGCTTATAGTTTTTTGTTATTAAAAATCTAAAAATGTTTTCATCACGTCCAATAACATCCATGAAATTTAAGCATATCCGGATATTCTAGAAAATAATCATTTTCCATATTTCTTTAAGGACAGCTTAACTGTACATGTGTACTGAGGACACTGGCAAGATAGATTTTTATTTCCTTTTTTATGGGGGCTTAATGATGTGTTACAAGAAATAACCTTTAAGATGTGATAAGATGTTCATGCTCTAAGCTATTCTATGTATTTCCTACACACAATAAATACATATTTTGTTTATATTGCAGTCATTTGTGAAGGACTACATGATTTCTATCACCAGACTTCTGTTGGGATTGGACACTACACCAGGATCAGGGTTTCTTTGCTCTGTAAGTTACTAATCTCTGGTGTAGATTATTCTGACAGGCAATTCTGAAAGCCATCTATAATGTTCTTTGGCTAACTCTTCTATGTCATTTATTTATTTTTTTCTAATATGTACTCAAAGAATAGCACCCTAGTTTTTTTTTAATTCCTTAAACAATGTTTAGGGAAAACATTTAATTAATTAAACATTTAATTTAAATTAATAATCTCAAAGATAGCCATTCTGTACAAAATTCAGAACAAAAATAATCCTGAAGGTAGCCGTTCTGTACAAAATTCTAGCAGGTATTTGAGACTGACAGTTTCTGACATAGGATGCTACACTGCCAAGGTAAACAGCGATCATGACATTTAACCTCTCTGTTTTATAAATAAGTATACTATGCCTAAGTGTATTTAATGAAGTGTCTTGCTAACAAATTCAAATTCATGATTAGCAAAGAGAGACCAGCACTTATGCCTCCGGTCTGTGAGTCCTGTGCTCCATACTTTTGCACATCTTCCTCAGTATGGGTACTAGTAGAACTTTGGATGGACAATTCGTTTTTGTGCTGGAGTGTCCTTTGCGCTTCAAGATTTGTAACATCAGCAGACCCTGTCCACTAAGGTTATTGCAACATTCAAACAAGTCTTTACAGGTTTTCCAACAATTCCCAATCAATTACCAGTGATATTGCCCATGTATATGGGACTAATACAGTGCCATGCTGCCACAAATGGAGCAGTTGGTTTCTTAAGTTTGGGTGAACCCAGGGATAAGGCTGAGATGGAATGTAATAAAAAACTTTAATACATGTATAAGCGCTTATGAATGTCACTTTGAGATTTCAAAATATCAATAAAATCTACCTTTAAAGAGTGAAAAATTACCATTGGGTTATTTCTTAAAAATTTGATATGTAAATAACTCATATGATTGTAGATGAAAATCACCGAGGATGACTTATGGATCAGGACTTATGCCAGACTGTATCAGAAGTTATGTTCTTCTACTGGAGATGTTCCCATTGGAATCTACAGGACTGAATCTCAAAAACTTACTACATCTGAGGTTTGGAAATATCAAAATACTCCTGTCTTAATGTTTAATCTTATTGAATACTGCCATTCCTAACCCTAGAAACTTATTTCTGAAATATGTCATTAAATTATGTAAAGTACATCAGGAATTTCATAAAATAATGTTGGCTAAAGGACTGTTTTAGAGTTTGTGGACTTTGGGCTCTGAATATCTTTTGTAGGTTTTCAGGAAGTAAGTTAATTCTAAGTAACCTTTGGATACATAAGAAAAGTTCTCAGGAAAAGCAAACTAGTTTTCTAATCTTCAACTCCACATATTAGCATTTGGAAAGAGGGAAAACAAAGATGAGTTAGGAAGCATGAAACACATTTTTCAAACTCTAGGTTGAGGACTACTTTGAAGCTAAGAAAAAACTCTAGGATCAGTGCCAGACCCTCCCAGAGGAAAGCTCAGTAATTATAAAAGCAAACTAGAGCCTATGAAAATGGAACAGAATTTCTGATGCCTGCGTATGACCAAAAACATATTCACATTTTAATTTGGTCACACTATGTGGTTCCAACTTACGGTTTATATTCTTGAAAGATTTTTTCTTCTTCAGATACCTCAAAGTTATTCAAAATTTTGGTTAACCGTTTCTTTCTTTGGTCTTATGCAAAATAGAACCTCAACTATGAGGATCAGATTAATTACATGCATTTTAATAGTCATGTAATCATTACACCAGCTTGTGATTAAAATCAGTGAATCCATGTGTGGAAAAGAAGAGCTTTATAAGAAGCATAAGAGTAATGGAGTAGATTTTTATTTTCTTGATATAATTTATAGTTTGACATTTAAGTAAGTGATATTGAGGCCAGAAGAAAATAGTTCAGTTTTTCTGAGATGCTCTTTAGTGGTTTCACTGCAGCTTCAGAGGTGCTAAAAGAAGCTTTATTGCCAACTCTGCTACTGAATCTGAGTTTGTCATTGGCTGTGGTCCCCGTGGTTCACACCACAAAGAGCAAGACAAAATCAGAGAAAATCAGGAATGATTGATGGGAGAAACATACCAGAAAGTTAAATGTGTAAGACAGCTTAGCCAGATATGCCTAAAATTTAAACAACACTGCATGCAAAAAATTATTATCTGATGAAAGGTTAAGAGAAAAAAAGTGCTTTCACACCTAAGCAATTAACCATTTCTTATTTGAACTTGATAAGAACAAAGAAGATTTTCACACAGCAGAATACTATCCTGTTTTTATCTTATAATATGTACTTTGTGAATTTGAACATGGTAAATTCTGCCCTTGGTCAAGTTCATATCCATGTTCAGTCATTTTGTATTATTAAGGGATGTTGTTGTATGCTGTTTACAGTACAGATAGGGAAAG